AAGAACTCCATACAGTCAATCGAGGTTAGGTCCATCAAAGGCTAGTAGCCGGGATGGGTAGGAAGGGCGTCCCTAGCCTCTGTCTGTCAGTCACAGCCTGGAAATGGAGGACAGGACAGGAGAGGAATCGCTTGATTCCCTTCTCTCTTCACCCCCTCTGGGACATCCCACAGTGGCCACTGTCGGAAGACAGGATGCTGGGCTAGATGGACCTTTGGTCTGACCCAGGATGGCCCTACCTGTGCTCTCAACACAGCCCCGCTCCCCACAAAAGCCACACTTACCCGAGCTCCTCTCGGACCTTCCCCAGGCAAACTCCCCCGGCGACGGCCGTCCTGTTCGCTCTGGCTGCCTTGCTCATAAGGTGGACCTTCCCCAGGCAAACTCCTTTACCTTTGCTGCTGTGCGGGTGCCGAGCAGTACTTGGAACTGCCAGGCAGGTCTTTCTGCGATTTTCCTTCAGAAACATGTAGTTGCCTGGTTGGATGTTGTGGCACGGTACATCAGTAGGTACTGGGAGGGCTTCCTTCACCTGCAGGTGCAAGTTTTCCTAACCGTCGTTTTAGGTCTAGGTTTCTTCTTTCCGCGTAGCCGCTAGCCTGTGGGTCTCCTCCTGCAACATTAAACTGCTTACAAATCAAACAGGAATTAGATATGCTTGCAGCTTCTAGGTGCAAGCCTGGGGCATACCATTGTTTTAGGATCTGAGAGGGCACCCTCCTTTTGTTCATGTGTGTCATTTGATGAGACACCTGAGCAAGCTGCCATGTGAGAGATCTTGGGGCGGCCATCAGGCACAACCATTATCCCAGCTGGGGATAAGGAGCAGCCTGCTCTCTCCCTGCAGGTTGAGCAGCTTGCTGTAGTTCTATCAGGTCCTGCAAAGAAACAGGGAGAGAAAGAGACCAGAATCTGAAAGGGAGCCGGAGGTCCATGTGCTGCTGCATGTCTGGCCGCTGCATCAGCACTCACATTACCCACAGAAACAGGATCGGTGGCACCTGTGTGGGCTGGGCAATGGGTAATAGAGAGGGATGTGGGTAGCTGAATGGCATCAAGAAGTTTGGAGATAAGGGGACCATGCGAGATAGCGCAGCCAGAAGACGTAAGGAAACCTCGTTGTTTCCAAATTTGTCCTGTGGCATGACAGACAGAGAAAGCATACTTTGAGTCAGTATCAATAGCAGCAGATTGTCCGGAAGCTAAAAGGCAAGCACGAGTTAAAGGGATAAGCTTGTGACCCTTTCCAGCAAGACAATTTAACACATGCAAGGCATCTGTTTTACGCCCCATCTCAGTTTTGCTAGCAATTAACACATTATCAACATACTGAACCAACACAGAGCTGCAGAGAAGAGGGACAGAATTAAGGTCAGCTTTTAAAAACTGAGAAAGCAGAGTAGGGCTTTCACAATAACCTTGGGGAAAACGTGTCCAGGTTAATTGACGACTCTGAAAGGAAAAGGAAAAGAGAAATTGGGAATTCTTATGCACTGGAATAGAAAAGAAGGCAGAACATAAATCTATTACAGAGACCCATGTAGAAGTGGGTGGAATAGTAGCAGGGTTAGGTGTACTACTGAAAATCTAGGGATTACAAACTTATTAATGGCTCTTACCTCTTGTACAAATCTATAGATTTGCTTACCCTGGCTGTCAAATTTTTCCTCCTTTTTCACAGGTAGTATATAGGTGTATTACATGGTGAAGTTGTATAAACAAGTATCCCTTGTTCAAGGAGGGAAGAGATTACAGGCTTAATGCCCTCTTGTGCCTCCCTAGACAATGGATACTGCGGTACCCTTGGGAAAGACTTGTTGTGTTTATATGTTATTTGCACGGGTGTTGCAGAGGCTAGCAACCCCACTTCATTCGCATGGGCTGCCCACAATGTCTCTGGGACATCTGAGAGGTCCAGGAAGGATGTATGTCTGGAGGCCTCATCAGATTCCTCAGAGTAGTAATGCCATCAAATTTGGAGCCTGATGGGGGAGGGGAGGAAGGTCAACAAATATCCCTTCCTCTCTACAGAGAAGGTTTGCACCCAATTTACACAACAAGTCACGTCCCATAAGGTTTACAGGAGAACAGGGAGATAACAGGAAAGAATGTTCAGCTGACAAGGGTCCAAAGGGGATGGGGGTGCAGATGGCACATCTGGGGAATCATGTTGTTTCTTTAGAGTAGCCAATTGTTGCTGCAGCTTTTCAATAGAATCTTTTTGGCTAGCCATTATGCTCTGATTCTTTTTTCTTACTGCTATATCCTCCCAGAGGCACCCACTATTCCATCTGGTTTGGATGTTTTTCCTCGAGGAAATCTTTAAGATAAGCAAGCTTTACTATGTCAAAGCTACCCTCTAGTGGCCATTTTTTCTGGGAATTCCCCTGAGTATAGCCATTCCAAATGCTCATTAAGGAGACTTAAGAAATTAGTTTCAAACCTGCCGCCAATTTACCTAGCTGACTGTAAATTCTTATCGTCTGAGACAAGGGAGTCCCAGGCTGAGAGAAACCGTTCCTCTCGGTCGGAGACATACTTCAGGGAGCAATCCCACCCATGTTAGCACTGTCTTGTCCAAGGACAGCACAGAAGCCCAACAGTACTACCCTCTCCAAGGATAGCACAGGCGTCCAGCAACACTACCCTCCTCCAAGGACAGTGTGGGAGTCCACACAAACTGTCAGCTTCACACACACTCCTTATGTGCCGGGGGAAACCGCCCTTGCTTTCAGCAGCTGTGCAGTGACACTGACAGCGCTGGTGCGGCTGCGGTCCCACTCCGGACTTCACTCACTCAAAACCATGCGCTTGGACTCGCCACCAATCAGTCAGCAACAAAATCCAACCCCTATTTGGCTATACTCAGCGTTTTCCTTTTAAATCTCCCTCAAGCCTCTTAAAGAAAATTTTGGAGCAAAAGATGACTCTTACCACCAGCAGGTCCAGCTGGTGAGAACAGGGAGGCGGACTGGGGGATTTTAAATGGATCCCTTACCCTACAGATGCGCGCTGTAGTCCATTCCCATTCCCCATCAGCCTTTCCAGCTGGAGTGCCAAGCCATCCCACTTCTAACACCAAATTGTTGGGGAAATCTCGCTCCCTTGGAGTCCCCATAAGGGTCCGAGGCTGGAGCTCAAAGCAGTGAGGCAGGAGAGAAATCTAGAAGGAAAACTTTATTATGCATGCATGCAGAGATTTTTGAACGGGTCCCATAAGAAGACAGATGAAAAGGACTGGGACTCTTCAGCGTAGACAAAGAGATGACTAAGGGAGGCTAGGAGAGAGGGCTATAAAAACACGACTGGGGTGGCCCTACCTGTGCTCTCAACACAGCCCCAC